CACACACACACACACACACACACACACACCCTGTTCTCCTTTCTAGGAGTGAGTGTGTGAGCGTGGTGCGCTTACGCTTTATGCTTGCCGGTGCCCGATCGCCCTGTAGTGTAGTCCTCTAGCCCTATGACCCCGGTTTTGTAATACTGTACTTCCCCTGGGCTGAATTAAACAAATTTGGGCTCCGGGCCATTTAGGAATTAACAGTCAAAATTAAATAACAGCTTAAAAGATAAATCTTTTGCTTGGGCAGGTACCATCTACATTCTAATATTAGTTTTATTCACTACAATACTTAGCCATGGGCGTGATATCTCTACCTTTCATTTCCCCTTGCCCTGTAGATTTAGTGCAGAGCTGCTCCTGATGCTTCAAGCACTGTACGAGCAGTATTTTCAGGCTTAATATTGTTATTTGGCATGTATTGTTTGAAATTTTTCTTCTTTTGTGCATATTACTGATCTGCCTCTCGTGTTTCATTGCGTTGTCTGTTACACAAAGCTAATGGACTAAGACTATGCTGACACGTTGCTTCTGTACCTTGTTAGTTCATTTAGCTGAGGGGTTGCCTCTTTTGCTTTCTCTTAACTTTCTCCTGCTCAGCATCCCCACCACCCCCACCACCAAGCTTGTTTACAGATTTCCCTTTCATATGTTTAACAGCCTCTAAAGGATGCAGTTAAATAAACTATTAAGTTAAGAATAAAGGCCAGGGATTTAGCTCAGCGGTTTGGTGGCCTTCCTTGCTAGCGCAAGGACCCGAGTTCAATCCCCAGTACAAAAAAAAAAAAAAAAAAAGAATAAAAAAATCAACAAAGCAGACACCTACTAATTTGTAGATCTTTGATGTCAACTACCAGGTGTCAGTTGCTACCAGCACACACTTTTGTGCATGCCCCTGCTTCTTTCTTGTTCCTAAATACCAAGGGGTGCTTTGTGAAAGTTAGCATCCACAGGGAAAGTCAAAGTTGGAATGAGCCTTGTTGTCAGCAAAGTCCCCTCATCTGTGATAGTGATGGAGAAAACACCGAGGTTCCCAAAAGACCTCCAGAAGGTCCAGAGATTGAGAAAGCAATGATTGATTTTATAATTGAATGTTGAGTGGCCCACACTGAGAGCATCTTTCATCCCCCCACTCGTTCATCCACTCCACCTAATGGTGCATATTTTTATATATAGCCGTGTAATTTTTGTTTTGTGTGTATACTCTCCTTCCTCTCTAGATTATGAGCTCCTGAGATTATACTCTGTGCTTACTATTTTATTTCTCCCCCCGCCCGTGGGCTCCCTTATTCCAGGCACGCCTAAATGTCTATCAAGTAAATAGACCTGAATAAATTCATGTTGATATCCTGAAGGAAACAGTTTGATTTGAATGTGAATTTCATAACAGGTAAAAGACCTGAAGGTTCTTAGGATGCTATTGCCTGTGACCTTGGCCTCTCCTTCCCAGTCAGACTCATAGCACCTTTTGGAGAAAAGATGCACACAGAGTGATGGAGTGCTCATTAGGGGAGAGGCTCCAAATGCAAAGACAGGCTGCTCACTGTCCTTGTTAGGAAATGCACAGACCAGGATAATAATAATAAATGGGTATGTGTCACAAACCTACTTGTTTTTCCTCTCGCTCCTGCATTTTGTTTTCCAGGAGCAGTGCAAAGCAAACTAATATCCAAACATTCAGGTTATATTACCTACCCCCTAGGAAAGGCTCAAAAATGCAAAGCATGCTTCTCTCTGCAACTCCCAAGTCTCCTGCTGCACACATCGGCCAAGTCCTTGCTGGGGGAAGATGCACCCCCTTCCCTCCCACCTCTCCCTAACTCCTTTCAGCCCAGTCCCTGTGTAAAGGCAAGGCATGCACAATGTAATGCATGTGCACGAATATAGTCCTCCGTAACTTCTCTCCCGTTAGACAACATTTCGTCTTGTGGACAAAAAGTCACAGCTCCGGTCTGTGCTCAAGATGTTTTTTTGGCCAATAATGGTGACAAAAGCTGAATATCCCTCTGTTTAGGGGAAAGAAGGAGAAGACAGGCTTTCCTCCACCCTCCGTTTTACAAAGATCTCCTCTCTCCAAGTGTTTCCTCTTTAATTATGACCTGTTTCCCCTCCCCCTCCTCCCTCCCGCCCTGGCTTCTGTGAAAGGAGCCCTTCTGTCACTCGTCACTCGCTAGCTCGCTCGCTGTGGGAGGAGCCCGCCGGAGGGAGCCTTGTGCCTGGGATGCCGAGAGCCAGAGAATGGATCTGCTCCGAGTGGGGACATTACTGAGGATCCCCGCTTCCCGAGGCGGCTAAAAGCAGACGGTTTGTCTCGGCTAGCTGCAGAGACCCGGAGGCACAAAGAGCCCGAAGCCACTCGGAGGGACGGAGCGACGGACAGGCAGATGGTCGGCGCGAACCGGAGAGGACCAGCGGCGGAGGCTGAGCACCGAGAGCCACCAAGGAAGAGAAACTAACTGCACATCAAGTTGCCCCGCCGGCTTACCCCCGCTGCGCTGAGGAATGAAACCTTTCCAGCTAGACTTGCTCTTCCTCTGCTTCTTCCTTTTCAGTCAAGGTAGGACCCTTGCGCCGCTGGAGTTGGAGCGAACTCGGCTGGGTTGTCAGGGCGCGGGAGGCAGAGGGCAGGAATGTGGGCAGCCTTCGGAAACTCGGGCTGATTGATGAGTCTCTCGGTGCCTACGGAGAGGCACTGCTGTTTGCTGTTTGCCTTTGCAAATGCAACAAAATGGTACTGTTTATTTTCCTTTGGAAGGAAGGGGATGGGAGGACAGGGAAGGGAAGGGAAGCGACTTTCTCCCCTCACTTGTCAATATCCAACTCAAACTCTCCAATGCAAATGAGTTCTTTATGCTCCCGCTATGTTAATTAGTAGTATGTTTGTGGCCACGCAGTTCTGAACTTCTGGGTATCTCCTCTCTTTCACTCCCAGGTTGGGGGAGAGAGTGGCAGGGAAGGGGAACGTTGCTTGGGTGGCTGTTTCAGCCCGAATAAGGTCTAACTTGCCTGAGTGTTCAACAGGAAGTATGTCCATTTGCACAGAGCAGAGGGGGTTGCAATTATGATGCGGCTGCGTTGTGGGGGTAACTTGCAGTGGTTAGGGGAAGCTTGTGAAGAGTTTCATTGAATGTCCTCGAGGTCCCTGAATAAGGCTGAATTCTGAGACCTACATTGCACTGGATTCGTGCCTAGTGCCGATTGTTTCCTTTCTGCAGCCTAGACGGGGTGAGACAGGGGTGGACTTTCTCAGGAAAGAACTTTGCCACCTCCGGGCTTCCTGCCACTGGGAGTCAGGGGCTGGCCAAGGTGGAAGGAGGGAAAGGAAATTATGGAGAGGGGATTGGAGCGTCTACTTAGTTACCTGTGGAATTGGGTTTAAGGGGAAAGTGAATTGCTTTCATCCCACTCTTTGGAATGCCAGAGCTGCCTCTGCCATCTGAGGCAGCATTTGTGCCAGCCAGCACAGCTCTTAGAGGGACAGGACTCTCAGGAAAATCCACAACCGAGCACATCCATCTGTTGATTAAATGAAGGGTAAAAGTTTTCCAGAAAGCAGAGCCTCACCATGGGTGGCTGCCTCTGCAAGTAAATAGCATATATCCCTCGCTTCCCCTGTCAAGAAGAAGCCAAATGTAAGCAAAAACCCAGCCTCCTACCTTCACTCTTCCACTGACCCTTCTGGTCACTGTAGATTTTCTCCTTCTTCATGCAGTTCAAACTTTGCTATTGACCCTCCCAATTAAATCTGAGCCCCCCCATGTGAGCGTGTGTTCTTAATGGTAGTGTGTACACACACTCATACACTCACATATTTACATGGCAGTATGTGTCTTACCAGGGCTGAATGAATAAGAGCTATCCCAGAACACTAGTATGGAGACGGATTCTGTTATGTCACCATTTTGTGAGATTATCCCTTTCTTGGATGTGTGCATACATGCTTATAGGCACACACATGCAACATATACATGATACTAACTCCCGTTCTTCTTTGCCTATTAGCAGTTCCCTCAGAAAGTTGCATGTAGAATCCCTGAAAGGAGGAGGGAATCTTCCAACCATTCTTCCTACCCCTGCCTCACTTACATACATTTCCATGAGACTAACGTAAGTTTTAACAAGCTCTTGTGTATTCAGAAGCTTTATCTGTGATTCTTCTCTAGATTGGCCTGAGAAGCCCATGCACATCTAAGTGCCACTCTGTTTCTCAGAATCATTACCCTGTTCATCTTTCACTTTGTTTCGTCCTCTCTCAGTACCTTTCTTGACTGCCTCGCATGAATCTTTAAATATTTACCTCCAGAGGTTAAATGCTGTGTTTCACAAGACAAGAGGAAGAAACCACAGCATCATACAATTTATAGTGCCTTGTTATTCCTGAGTGTTCCGAGCTTGGCCAGAACTATCCACCATACCAAGCCATAGACACATAGTTCATCAGACTCCAAAACAGATCTCTAGATTCTGTGCCCCAAGTGGACATTTCTCATCAGATAGCCTCTTTCGCTGTGCATACTGTAGGTGTCTTGAATAGTCAGCACTTGACTGTAGCAATTAAGGCTCTAGAGAAAAGATATCTTCTGACTTGATCTGTGGACATTTTAAAAAATGTGGTCATTGTTTGGAGTATGGTGAATTCCCCAGAGATACTGTTTGATGTTCTTTGCACATATGCTTAATTCATACCTTGTGGCCCACCCCACCCGTGCCATGCACTCAAGTTATTGGATACAGTGTATCCACTCTGAAGAGGTCACTGGATGACTAGCCAGTGTGGCTTGAGATGGTCCCCACAACTGAGAACCGAAGGTACAGCTCCACCCATCACCCACCATAGAGCCACTTGCCTGACCCCCACCTTCTCCAGGCTGCTCTTCTAATAATGCTTTTCCAAGGAAATGTGCAAGGCTTGGTGCACCTACAGAGAGAAGTGTCCAGGTTGCTTTTAGGTTCATTTCTGGCCATCCTGTGACATGGCCATCTTCTATCAACCACTTCTTCCAGGTAGAAGTTTCATGTCATTTTGGAGTTCTGGGGACCTAGTTCTAGGGCTCCCTGCTCCCGTTGTCCCCTTCCTATGCAGAGGGAGGAAGCAGTCCAGTGTTTTGAAGACTTTACCAGAAAACCTGGAAGTAAATGCTAAAGCCCATTTCAATCATACTTTCTTGAGTGGTTGACTATTTGCTGATCCTTACTTTTTCCCATAACCCTTTAAAAAGAAAGCAGAGATCAATGTAAAATTAAAGTCCGTGTCCTTATTCTTTAAAGTTTGGGCTTTTGTTCAGATTAGGACCATAATATATCTTTATCTTTCGTAAGGTGGCAGTAGAAAGGCTAAATGACATTCCTCTGTTCCCGCCCCTGCTAACAACGACGCTGGTCTTGGCTGGCAGCAGGGGAGTAGAGAGCTGCTAGTGTATGGTGCTTGTGGGTTTTTCTCTTTCTGGGATGCCTCTTCCCTCAGCTGTCAGGATGGTCGTGCTTAGTACAGAGAGGGATAATGTCACAGCACAATTTGCCTCCTGTGGAGAAACGGCATGTTTTGCCCCTGAGTGAAGAAGAATCGATTCTCTTGTCATCCATAAACTTAGAACTTGCTGTATTTCCCTCTTTATGTATTAGTTCACCCACTACTATTTCCTCCCATATCCTCTTTAATCCTCAGGCATCATCGCTTGTGGCCAGCACATGCTCCGCTTAGGTGGCTTTGGAGGAGTAGTGGCTCAGCAGGCCTGAGGACTCCCTGTTTCCCATCATGTCTCAAGTTCTGAGACAGCTTGGGGACACACAACAGTGCAGAGTTGGTGGCTTTCTACTTAGACTCTAAGAAAGGTGTTGTTCTCACTCTCTGTCATTCTGTTCTGGCATTCCCCGAGCATCCAGCCCTGCCTAATGACTTTGAGGTCCAGAAGGCTTTAATCCTGTCGAATCCAGATATCTTGTTGGCTTTGCATGTGTGTTTTACTGCTCTGAACACAGTGGGGTGGAAGTGAAAACTTGTATTTACCTGTTAATGACATAACTGAGTTAAGGATTAATGTGGCTACCATCTCCTGATTGGGAAGAATATAGGCAGCACATCTGCATTCCCGATTGGCAGGAGACAGCAAAGAGGGGGTCAAATGGCAGAGGTCATGGCAACCTGAATCTCCAAGGGAGCAGAATAGCATGAAGCAACCCGGAGGGTGAACAGTGTGGGTGGGAAGAGCTGGCCAGGGTGCAGAGAGCCTCCCCGGGGGCGGGGGGGGGGGGGGCAGGAAGCATTGAAAGAACAGCCACTGGGAAAAGCTTGAATTTGCCAGGATCTCTCTTGGGGAAGAAAGGCAAAGAGAGGGCATCAGAAGACAGCATGAATACACTGGAGGAACCCAAGAATGGAGACGGCAGAAAAGGAAACGGAGGGAACAGCAACTTCCAAAACATTTAGCCTTACCCAGAAATGTCAGCTAACAAAAGATGAGGCAAGTAGTGTGATTCTCCCAGCCACCAGCAACCCAAGCAGTATGACATCTCCTCCAGGAGAGGAAGAATCACTTCTTTTGTCCCTGAAGGTCAATGCACAGCTGCCAAGGGTGTGGGACTACTTCTTTAAAGAAGCTTAAGGGTGGGGGACCAGGATATGTCTCTTGAGGATGGGGGTGTGGCAGAGTCTGCTGCCCAACAGGGAGCACTCATTTGCCAGCCAGACCTATTGAGGATGAAAAAGAAACCCCAGGGGATGGGAGTGTGGGTGTGGTCAATGCCTTCATACTACTTTGAGAAGCTCCCATGGACTCCCCTCCCCCTTGGGTGTAGAGAGGAGAATCTGGCTTGGAACATGGCAGCAGCAAACCAGGCACGGTACCAAGGAGCAGCCCTGCGTGGTGTGTGCCTGTGTTGGTGGAAGCCAGCGCCAGCAGGAGACCGGGTGGAGCAGGGGATTAGGCCTGAAGATGCAATTTTTCTTTTTTGTTAAGCCCAGTGGGGGTGACTTAGGCAGTATTATATTGCAGCCCCAAAAAAAGCACATGAATAATCCAGAGTGAATTCAAGAGATTTCAATAGCAAAATAATAACAATACTAATGATACCTTTGATTTGCCGAGTACTTTTCTTCCAAGGAGATAAAAAGATAAACTGTTTGGGAAACATAAACGAAGAAAAGAAAATTGCTTGTGATGGAGGATTGGGGAGAAGGGCCAGAGCTCTAGTTTTAAGGTCTTAATGCAGATGGGGGAGTTTGGGAGGGCTGAGCCAGCACAGACATCATTTTTCAGCTCCAGAAATTCCTTGCCCTGGTAAAATGTTGAGATGATGTTTAGGTGCAAAACCAGTGCAGGCATTTTTTTGTTCAGGCCAGTTAGGAGATCCTGGAGCCCTGAGTGCATTCTGTGCCCAGGAGCGGGGATATTCTAATTCGGTCAGGGAGATCCTGAACAAACTGGTTTCTCCACTTGACTCACACCACCCCAGTAAGCCAAACTTTAGTGTGAGTTCCCAGAAACTGGAGCTTCAGTTCTCCCTCAAGGGCATTGGACACCCCAGGACTCACAAAGCAGGTTTCAGCTGGAACTGCTGCTTCTGGGGCTGTGTGTTCCCTGGAGTTTCATATCCCATCACCGCCATCCACAAGGGAGGGAAGAGCAAAGCCAGCCCCGTACCCTGAGCCCCTGTTA